AGATGAGGTGAACCCCGTGTATCCGCGGGCCATTTAAATCTTGCGTTGTACTCCAATACATCATATGATGGGATGCACAATTTATAGCAAGTCACTCGACCCATCATATGATGGGTTGCACAACTTAAGGGTTAAGGACACGTTATGTGTTACATAACTTTGTGAAAATGGCCGGTCAACTTCAAGTGTTGCCAAGGAATTTAATATAGGCACTAGTACTGTTTCTGATATAAGGAAACAAAAAGAGAAATATCTGAAATATCAGAAGGCAAGCTAAACTTGATTCTAATATGGTAAAAAAATCAAGCCAAGCGCCTTCAACCAGTGAGGCCTCACTGGCAAGCCAAGCGCCTCCAACCAGTGAGGCCTCACAGGCAAGCCAAGCACCTTCAACCAGTGAGGCCTCACAGCCAAGCCAAGCGCCTTCAACCAGTGAGGCCTCACAGACAAGCCAAGCACCTTCAACCAGTGAGGCCTCACAGCCAAGCCAAGCGCCTTCAACCAGTGAGGCCTCACAGACAAGCCAAGCACCTTCAACCAGTGAGGCCTCACAGCCAAGCCAAGCGCCTTCAACCAGTGAGGCCTCACAGACAAGCCAAGCACCTTCAACCAGTGAGGCCTCACAGCCAAGCCAAGCACCTTCAACCAGTGAGGCCTCACTGGCAAGCCAAGCGCCTCCAACCAGTGAGGCCTCACAGGCAAGCCAAGCACCTTCAACCAGTGAGGCCTCACAGCCAAGCCAAGCGCCTTCAACCAGTGAGGCCTCACAGCCAAGCCAAGCGCCTTCAACCAGTGAGCCCTCACAGACAGGCCAAGCACCTTCAACCAGTGAGGCCTCACAGCCAAGCCAAGCACCTTCAACCAGTGAGCCCTCACAGACAGGCCAAGCACCTTCAACCAGTGAGGCCTCACAGCCAAGCCAAGCGCCTTCAACCAGTGAGGCCTCACAGACAAGCCAAGCACCTTCAACCAGTGAGGCCTCACAGCCAAGCCAAGCGCCTTCAACCAGTGAGGCCTCACAGACAAGCCAAGCACCTTCAACCAGTGAGGCCTCACAGCCAAGCCAAGCACCTTCAACCAGTGAGGCCTCACAGACAAGCCAAGCACCTTCAACAGTGAGGCTTCAGCAGCTGACAGTCAAAACTAACTTTGCTTAACCCTTAACATGCTCGGGGTCTAATATCCTGCTATCCACACAGGCGCATGTCATTTTGAAAAAAAAAAAATTTATTTTTTTTGCTAATCTGTTAGGTTCTGTTCACTGATCACGGGAAAAATAAAAAAAAAATTCTATTGTACTTACTTTTGTTGCAATAGAGCCGAGAAGCTCGGTGATGACGTCACAATCTGCATGTTCGCTCATGCAGTACACGCCCGGGAGATGTTGCGCGCGGTCCTCAAACAGCCAGAGTTGCCACAAATATATTTTCGCGCTATTTATTTACAATGTCTAAGCACATTTTATCTAATTTTTTTTCACTAATTGTGTTTCAAATACTGTTTGAACATATTTTGTATCAATAATTGTTGCATATTTGAGTATACACAGGCGCACACAAATGTTTTCAATTACGGCAATATAATATGTCATTACAGTCTATTATATTGTATGTTCTGCTTATATTTGTATATATTTACACACACGCACACGCTATCTGCTTATATGTTTACATATTTACACACTCGCACACGCTATACACACTTTGAAGCACACTTAGAAGATTTCTAGACTGTGGTAGTCATTGAAGCAGTCGACAGCACATAATGGGATACCACACGTTTCACACCATGTTTGCACAAGCTTCCGTTTCTTGTCTCTACGTGTCGTTGTTTTACACACCAAGCAATCACGTTGGGCTATTGCACGCTTCACACCAGGTAGCAAATACTTAAGTTTGTGTGCTAGGAAGCCTTCAGTGTGAGCGAGGCGTGGAGTACCAGCATGCTGCAACAGTGGGTTTATGATGGGCCGCTGAATACCTGGGACATCTTTTGCAAACTTTCCTAATAACTGTATTGCAGCATCAAATACAAAGTCACGGAAAGTGGGCTTACGTCCAGTTCTCACAAGGTACATGTTGAAACAGTTCAGCATGCTCATGTCCACAAGATGGAAGAACACTTTTTTCGTCCACCTACATGTCTTCCGCACACACTCTGCAGTGCCAATCATCATGTCTGATTTTTCAATCAACCGCATGTTGATATTATAGTCTAAAACACAGTCTGGCTTATATATAGTGGTGCGTTTGTTTTATGGCTCACTTTCCCACTGTTCACCATTGTTCCATCATGAATTGTTGTCAACAAGTTCACCTCTCTTTTGTCTTTCCACCGAACTGACAGAATGTTATCACTTTTCCTTCTCTGACACTCACCAACTGCAATGTCGTTGTCAAACACAGGCATTTCCCTTCGTTGTGGCTTTACTGTACCAACCAATCCGGTTCTATTTTCTAGCAAGAACCGAGCTAGCAAGGGACTTGTATAGTAATTATCTGTGTATAAAATGTGTCCCTTGTTCATCCACGGAGCCATGATGGTCTTTACTACACTCCCCGAGAATCCATGTTCGTCGTTACCGGGAATGTCTACATCACTAGCCGAGTACAGAATCATGTGTAACACGTATCCTGTCTCACAATCACAAAGAACAAAAAATTTCAGGCCAAATCGGTTTCGTTTTGAGGGAATGTACTGTTTGAATGGAACACGTCCCTTGAAAAGTATGAGAGATTCATCAACCACCAGCTTCTGTGCTGGTACGTAAAAATCTCTGAATTTTCCAATAACATCGTTCATGTAGTGCCTCACTCGCCACAGTCTATCATCAGGTGTTCGGTCCTGAACACTTCCAAAATGTAGACACCTGAGGAGTATCTGAAACCTGTCTCGTGACATATATTTCCCGAATAAAGGTGTTGGTATTGTCTTGTCCTTGCTCCAATAGTCATTTATTGCATGTTTGTGACAGTGCTTCATCAACAAACAGAGTGCCAAAAACACATACATTTCCGCCACTGTGGTATTTTTCCAACGCTGCAGTCGTGAAAATTCTGTGATTTCCCTCTCAATCAGGTAAGCAGCATGCAGGTTCGTTTGGTGTACAATGTATTCCATGAGTGGTTCATCATAGAATGCTGTAAAATATTCCATCTCAGCCATGTCCTCACCTTGATTAGGGAAAAGGTTTGTAATCCCTACATCTTTATCGTCAAAGTGAGGAATATTAGGAATAAAATCGTCACCATCACTCCACTCAAGTACACCAGGCGTCCTGCGAGATGCAGAGGAAAGACGGCGAGGAAGCGATGCATACCGGCGACCAGGAGCTGAATACCGTCTGCGAGAAGCACGGCGGCTACGTGCACGTGAGGTGGGTGCACGTGAACACGAGGGTCTTGGTCCCTCATGTGGTGCCATGCGGTGGCGCTTGGCCGGGCGAGATGCTGCTGACGCGACAATTTCTCGCCCAGTTACACCACTGGTACCAGCCACAGGCTCAATAAAACTTTGATCTGAGTCACTAAACCCAGAAAAGGAGTCACCTCCCTCTGACTCGTCACCCTCAAACAGAAAATATCCACAGGAACTGTGAGGTCGTGGTAGAATTGGGGTAGAAAATGGGCGAGGAGGCATGGGAGAGCGTATAGGCCTCGCCATGGCATGGCGGTCATTCTCACTTTCACTGCTGCTGCTACTATCTCCCGACAACTGTGTATAATCCTCATCGTTGTCTGAATCGTCAAACACACTTTCTTCACCTTCAAAGAATAATTCGTGGGCTATTTGCTCTGGGGTGAGGGACTGAGTGATGCGTGCTCGTGAGGCGTTTGACCGTGCGCTCGCCATGGTGACTCTCGCTAAACTGAGGCCTCCCATGCCATCGAATCGTGAGCTGGATTTTTGTTCAAAATGGCCGCTGTTTACTAGAGCCCCTGGGCAGCGTATGGGACCCCCAGCTACACCGCGGGCCATTCAAATCGTGCGCGGTACCCATACACTTCATATGAAGTGAAGCGCAGTTGACTGGTAAAACTATTTACACTTCATATGAAGTGATGCGCACTTTAAGGGTTAATGAACTGTACAGTAATTTTAAGTGTTGATTTTAGTGTTGTGTTAGTATAGGTTATGTAAATTGTCAAGAATTCTTAACTTCAAGATATTTGGCATCAATCAAGTTGATGAACATCAACAAGGTAAGTTGAGGTTTCTATTTGAATATTTAATAATTATATGTGGCAAGGCAATTCAAATTATGTTGTTTGTAGTATAAAAATAGTTGGAAATGGTCACTTTTGGACTCGGAGGTGAAAAAGTACTGTAATCCGGAAAACGTGATAATCCGGCTGAGGGTCCTTCCCATATAGTATGGATAATCGAGTGGAAACAGTATCATGTATTGTCTTTTCTTAATTTAATTTAGCACTAGCTGATTATGCAATTTTGCCTATTATTATAAGGAATAGAAAGTGCATAAACGGTAAATATTATTGTATATCACATGGTATTATTGCAGTATTTAATTGTATTGGAATTATTTGATCAATGATTTACGATTCTTCGCGGCAGGGGATCGTATTCCAGGGACCATAGGATTAAGGACTTGCCCGAAACGCTACGCGTACTAGTGGCTGTACAAGAATGTAACAACTCTTGTATATATCTCAAAAAAAAAAAAAAAAAAAAAAAAAAAAAAAAAAAAAAAATAAATAAAACAACAAGTATGGTAAAGTGTTTGATTACTTCAACACCTATTCAAATATTACTACACTTTATAAAAACTTTTTAGATATCTTTATAGTTGTAATATTTAGGAGTAAAAATTTTCATTCATTTGACTGATGTCTAATATTTCAGCAAAATGCTCAATGAGAATTCAACATTTAAAATTCTAATTACCATAATAATGCATCGCTACTAAATTTATGGGTTATTGAAAACATGTTGAACGGACTGTAATAGCAAAACATCTTTGTCAACGTTTGCATACTTACCAATTACCATTCCAAAGGATCGAGCAAAGCCAGCAATAACTGGTTCTCCAAACTTGTTTCCATAGTCCGAGGCACCATTCGAGGCCTCTATGGCAATCTCCAGTGGCGAGGCAAAGTTGCTCGGATAATGTGTCCCTTGAGTCTCCCATGGTAAACTGTAACCTGTAACATTAGTCAAAGCTGTAACAAATCTAATACTAAATTTTCCTGATTTTACCCAAGGGCCACCACCTATAATGGCCTCTATGAAGGACAGGAAGTCCACAGCTTGTCTAAGGTCCACCCTATATTCCTGAGGATTTTTTCAGCTGAATTTTGAAGTGTATCATTGTCTTGGTATTAAACTCCCCATAACTGCACAGGCTATTTCAATGCATTATTCATGTTAAAAAAAAAAAAAAGTAGAATGTAATGAAACGCCATTTTCTGAGCGAGACCCGAAAGCTCCCCGGGGCTTACTAGGCTGATATGCTAATGTCAGACTTTGGCATCAGTCACGTGTATGGAGTTCTATGGGCCTACCGGGGACCACGAGCCAGAATCTGGCCCCCTCAGAGGGGCATGGGGAGCAATGGCCTATAGAAACCCCCGTGTGGTTGGAAGTATTCTGTGTCTGCCATCGACCGGGTCAGGCACCCAGAGAGGTAAGCATCCAAAAACAAACCCCTATTCTGGTGAAAATATTGCTACCAAAAGCCGAACAAGTGGATAGAACTCCTATAAAAGAAACGAGCAAACAATCATGATGTCACACGTCGTTGCTCTGCTGTCTGCGCAGTTCCCCCCTTTCCGGGAGGGGAAAGGGGGAGCCCCAGACCCCTCGCACCGGCTATCCACTCTTCAGTTCTGAGGCTGGATGTCAAATTATGCAAAAACTGCCGACCGGAGGGAGGGAGGGAGGGAGGGATACCAGAGAGCCTCCGGGTCTCACCCAGAAAATGGCGTTTCATTACATTCAACGCTGGTTTTCTGGGAGGACCCCCTTCAGCTCCATGGAGCTAACTACCCATAGAGGAAAAACTTAGGGACGTACCCGGGAGGCGGTCGTTGCTCACTCTTCAACTCAAAGTCGAGACAACTGGCTGCAGCTGTCGACCCTAAGCGACACAGGCCTGACTAGGCCCAGGGACGTTCAGGAGGTAACGAGCAGCCAGAACCCTGTTCGACTGCCAAAAGCCCCACACCCGAAAGTCAGCCCAGGACATGTAGCCAAAGACGGCAGCAAGAGCAGCGAACTTACGAACATCGTGGGCACGGGAATAGAGCACAGGCTGGCAAGCCTGAATAACTCTGCTGACGACCTGGGAAACCCGCACCCGCGAACAGGGAAGAAGGGAAACCGGATCAACCCAAAGTGCATCCCTGGACACAGAAGCCGAGGAACGCAAATAACGGCCAAGAGTCGCCACCGGACACAAAACATGATGCACCCCCGGCCTAACCAACCAAGCATCAACAACCCTGAGACCCCTCCAGGAAGCAGCAGCCTCATTCTTTGCCAGAAAAGAAGGAGACTGCTGCAGGCAAACAAAACCATCCCGAAGACCAAAAGAGCAGAAACCCCTGCGACAAGAGGAGAGCATGAAGCTCCCCAACCTGACCCCAGAGGCCAATGCCAACAGAAAGAGGGCCTTGGAGAAACAATCCTGAACCGAAGGGGCCACAACAAACTGAGAAGAAAGGAGAGATAGCACTCAGTCCAATGACCAGGACGGCTCAGCTTGCAAACTGGCGCAGAAGTAAGCTGAAGCGGCTCCGCCAGCGCCGCATGATACGAGGCGACAGGATGGGACAAGATAAAGGCCCCAAACCTCCACAAGAGAAGACAAGACCACGCCAACAATGCAGCTACCTAAGAAGGGACAGAAGAAAAAGGAAGGACCACCAAAAAAACCCACACTGCCGCCAAGACGAAGCATGCAGGTGGGACACCATCAACAAAGCCACCCAACCACCAACAGAAGGTGAGAGACTCGAGACAAAACCGAACCAGCCTCGTCATGGGCCAATCGAGCCTAGGAAGAGGCGGAGCTGCGGGAAGATCTCGGATGCGACCATAAAGCCAGCAGAGCCGGCAACCCAAGCCAGCAGAGCCGGCAACCCAAGCCAGCAGAACTGGAAACCCAAGCCAGCAGAGCCGGAAACCCAAGCCAGCTGCAGGAGGAGATGGAACATCTGCCGTACTGAAAAACATCCCAATGCCAGCGAGCCCGCCAGGAGATTGGAGATTACAGTCCCAACGCGATACTCTAGAGAAAGGACACCAAGAGACCATGAAAACGCCAACAGGCAGGGTAAGCCAGAAAACCAGGAACCCAAACCTGGCAATAGGAGAGCCAAAAGGCACAAACAAAACACACAACCATGTGTAGGATAAAAATGAGAAAACGGAAAAACACAAGAAAAAGACTAGAAGAAAAGCCCCAGAACCAACGGCCAGATACAAGAGCGTAGAAGGAACATGAGGAACGAAGAAGGCAAGTAGCAAACGGGAATGAAAGGGACACGACCAACAACACACACACAGCCACTGGCCATGTCCCAACAAGTCACGCCAAGAACACATGTGAGACACGACCCAACACAAGACTGAAAGGAAAAAGGTGCAAAAGTATGCCACCAGAACAGTACCCAAAACAAGTATGAGCTACGAGGATATGATCACCACATGGAAGATTCCCAAAGGAATTGACAAGGTAGAGAAAGACCGACTACGGGACCCCAGGGGCATGCGCACCAGGGGACACCTGTGGAATGAGGGCCCAAACAAGCCAAAGACATGGGGAAAAAAGTATTGCAGCGACATAGTAGTAGACAAGCGGAACTCATGAGGAAGCGATGTGGTGGAGGATGACACCACACACAGCTTCAAGCGCAGATAGGATAGAGCCCAGCAGGCTCAGGAACCTGCACATAAGTGAACAAGAGGCAAGAAGCAGGACCAAAAAGCTAGAGCTCAACTCCCACAAACACAACTAGGGAATTACAACTAGGTAAGGACTGGACAGAGAATCCAATGGATATGGAAGGGCTAAGCCAGGCACAGCAAGATGGGCAAGGAAAGAGTGACCCAGATAAGACCACGAAAAACGGGGCCGAAACCCCCCCTTGCCACCATTAACCCAGACAAACAAGTAAGGCACCAGGAAAAAACATGGAAGGGCCAAACAAAATGCCACAACCAATCCCCAACACGCATCCACAGCACAAAAACTGCAGCAAAATGTCACCTCAGAACATCCAGACAGAAACACTTACCCCATAACCTATACCCCCACCATTGTACCTCGTAACCTGGTGGAGGTAGGAGCCCCTATCTGGACTCAAGCATGGGCTGGACATGCACAAGAGTGGGACTGGATGGGTATAAATAAAAGCTGCCTCGTATGGCCCAATAAGCCAGCAGTAGTCACCTGTGTTCTGATATTCGTATATCCGTATCCAAAAACCACTAACCAGCGCCTGGCTGAAAGAGAAGCCAAACTGCATAAATTCGCCTGTGGAACATAGGCACGAACGTGTCATGACAACGTAGCCGAGAAGATTCCGGGAGCACCGCCAGTGGAAGAAAACAGAGCCGCACATGCAGGAGAAGAATTGGATAGAGTTGAAGGAGAAGCCCCACACTCATATGCAGGGAAAGCCCAGCGTCCTTCCCATAACAGCAATCCAGAACACCCCCATGAGATATGGGACACGGACTGGAGAAGTGAGAAGAGCGAGAAGCGAAGCACCCGAGAGAAAAAAACCAGCGTTGAACGTAATGAAATGCCATTTTCTGGGCGAGCCCCGGAGGCTCCCTGGAGCTTATCGGGCTAATGTATGTTATATTAGACCGGGACATTAACTAAGGAGTTCAGATCTACCAGGGACCAGCGCCAGAACCTGGCCCCTTCAGAGAGGTTTCAGAGAGCAATGGCACTGGAAAACCCTCTTGTGGTTGGGGTTTTCTTTATCTGCCATCGACCAGGGTCAGGCACCCTGAAAGGTAGGCATGACAAAACAAACCCCACATGGTAAAAACCTAAAACAAAAAACCGAACAGAGGTAGAAACTCCCTACAATCCCAAGGAAACAAGCAAACAAACATCACACTTTACTGCCGCGCCGATTGTCCACGCAGCCCTCCCCGCCCCGAAAGGGGGAGGGGGGAGCCCTGGACCTACCGCGCCAGCTGCCAAGCTTCAGTTCGGAAGCTAAGCTTCAACCAATGCGAAAAAACCGCCGACCGGTGGGGAGGGAGGGTTGCCAGGGAGCCTCCGGGGCTCACCTAGAAAATGGCATTTCATTACATTCAACGCTGGTTTTCTGTGGGGAGCCCCTACGGCCCCCTGGAGCTTCATACCCAAAGAGAAGGAAATGAAAGAGCTAACCCGGGAGGCGGCCGCCACAAACTCCGCAATGCGAAACCGAGACAATAGGATGCACAACCTGCGACCCAAGGCAACAAGAACGCACAGGAGCAGACGCCCATAAAGAATGGGCAGCCAAGAACCTGTGCGGCCCTCAATTCCCTGCGCCCGAAATGAGCCCTAGACGTCACCAACACTGCAGCAAAAGCTCCAAACGTCCGAACTACACAGGCACAAATACAGACCGCAGGCTGGAAGACTGAAAAACTCTGCGGACGACCTGGGAGACCCAAGCCCTGAAACAGGAAACGAGGGGAACCGGATCAAACCAAAGCGCATCCCCAGACACGGTACGCAGGTAACAGCAAAAAGCACAACCGAACAACACAGGACGCACCCCTGGCAAAACCAATCAAGCATCAATAACCCAAGAACCCCTCCGGAAACCAGCCATCTCAGCCGTTGCCAGGACAGAGAAAGACTGCACACGTACAAATCTACCACCAGTACCAAAGAACAGAAACCTGAACCGAAGGGGCTACCACAAACTGAGGAGAAGATAAGAAGGCACCCTGATCAAGGACCAGGACGGCGCAGGCGACGCATGAGCAGGCCGGAGGTGAAACAAAACACGAGAAGCGTACGAAATGGGGCAGATATGACGACCACCCCGAATGCAAGCCGGAGCGGCTCCGCCAGCTTCGCATAAAATGAGGCAACAGTAAGAAAACATCTAATAACTGTAGTCCAGAAAACCCAAGAAAGGACAAGACAACCCGATGCGAAGGAGAAGACAACGTACAAAGAGCA